GAAGCTGAAGGTTTTTCTTTCACAATAGTGCTTCTCATACATTATTATCTTCTATTCCATTAATTGCTTTTTTTGTAATAGGAGGTAAACAAAACCTCTATTTGCTGGACTGTTTTAATAGGTGAATGAGACTAGACAACAGGACCCCTAAGCTAAAAAGCAGAAAAGCCCATGTTTGCTGGTGAAATGGTGCATATGGCTTCTTTCCCTCTTCCCCTAACCAAATAGTCTTTGCAGATGAACTTCATAGGCTTCCCCTCTACACACCCCCATACCTGCTTCCACACAGACCATAGGAGGAAACACAGGATATCAGACAGAGCCACATCAAAGACCTTTGTAGCTTTGCCATAGGCAGGGTGATAGGAGAGATGCAAGGTGTGCAGAGTCATGACCAGTAAGACACCTGGGGCAGGTCAGGTCAGCAAGAGACAAGAGTCACACTTGGAGGAGACCATGGAGATAGAGAGTACCAACTCTCAGTGACAGGCACTGAGCCCCTGAGCCCCAGCCATTTCATCCCAACATGTGTTTGAGAAGCCACCTGCTTGCTCATAGAAGTAGTTTCAACATTTTCTCTCCAATCTGGGTCAAATGCCTCATTTAGTAAAGAAACGCTGCTTTTCTAAAATATGAAGTGAACTAATTTCTGTTCAGCTTTTTATAAATTTTCTATCATGAGGTCCAAATTAAAATGCTTTTCAAAGTACGACTAAAGTTGCAAGCTGTGATACATGATTGGTTAAATTTTATTTTTCACATTTTAAGAAAATAATTCCATATGTTTTTACCAGCTCATGAACTGTCTTGGCAATGAATAGATCAGTATATCTAGGAACGATTGATACCATATGATTCTTGGGTATCATATTTTGATGATATTCTGCAATGTTTCAAATTACCAAAACAGAAACCCACCCACACACACTGAGCTCAAAATTGGCAGTTTTTGTCTTGATGGCTACATTTAGAGTTTAAACATCATCATTAAAATTTTACAGGTGACATATCAAGAAAAATTAAGCCCACCAGTTGTGCCTCTTTGAAAGGAAAACATTCCTTCATTATAATAAATGAAATTGTGTGCTAGGTATGAATGCTGGTGACCTCTAGAAAATGAACCACTGACCCATAAGTGGATGAGAATCAGCCAGAGTAAATGAGGCAGAAGTTTTCCCAGCATAACTGTGCATGCTGGCAGGGCAGATTCTTGTTATAATTAAAAGAGATAGAGTGGTCAACAGGGAACATTTATAGGAACAAACATGACTACATTGCCAAACTATTTTTCTGGTCCACTTTTCATTCTCACGTTATGCCATATATCTGGGTTTTAAAAGTGATGCAAGCATTGCACATGAAAATAACACATATGGACTTATACAGCAGAACCCAGGAAAAATTCAGTCAGAATATGAACACCATCAATGACCAACTTGTTCAGAGCAAATCCCCATCTAAATCTGTACTGACCAATACAGTAGCCATAAAAATGAGCATGTGACCTTATGCAAATGAGACATCACCTCCTCCAGACTCTGCATATATACCTGGCTGGTGTCCACCGTACTTAGGGACCTCCTCTTTTGGCTTTGGAGCCCCCCCAACCTCTGTCTCTGTATGAGGGAACCTCTCTTCCTTCTGCCTTCTCTTTTCTTTCTTGCCTATTAAACTCTCTTCTCCTTAAAACCACACACAAAAAAATGAGCATGTGAAATGTGACTAGACTGAATTAGATGTAATATAAATGTAAAATACACTCTAGATTTCCAAGACAGCATCAAGAAAAAAAGAATGTAAAACATCTCAATAAATTTTTGATTATATGTTAAAATAATAAGATTTTTGATATCTTGGGTTTAAAAAAAATCATTAAAATTAATTTCATCTGTTGCTTTTTACTTTTGTTTTCTAATGTGGCTACTAGGACATTTCAAAGTACATATATGGCTTGCATTTGTGGCTTGTAGTATATTTTTATTGGGCAATGCTGATATAAATGAAAAGTTTAGGTATGCAAAATAGTGTTTATCCACCTAACCGAACTGAAATATAAATTCCTATTAATTGATGATAACATGACAACACAAAGAAAACTGGCCATGAGACCAGCCTGAAACCCTGTCTCTACTAAAAATACAAAAAAAATTAGGTGGGCGTGGTGGTGCACGCCTGTAATCCCAGCTACTTGGGAGGCTGAGGCAGGAGAATCGCTTGAACCCAGGAGGGGGAGGTTGCAGTGAGCCAAGAAAACTGGCCACGAAGTGATTTTTACCTTGATAAGTTACCTTTTCCATTCTTCCTACACTGGTACGATTCTGTGAATTCAAATGTTTGCTTAACAACTTTCTAAAGGCAAAATAAGAAAGAAGACATTCTGGGAAATGAATTGTACGCTAATTAGAAGTTGGGCTCTGGAAGAAACAGAAAAGAGTCATTCACCTGAGCTCTCTGGAGGTCCCTGATTTTTGCTCCAAGGAAGCCACTACTGAGAAAATAAGGCTAGACCTTTTATTCATTTATATGAACAGGGCTTATACATTTCTATCAGGAAGAATATCAGAGGATTCTCATCCAAGCAAACGTTGATGAAACATCATTGACAGGGTAATGACATTTTGAATGGAAAAAATGTGAACCATGAAGCTGCATTGCAATGGGAGTGTAAACTTCAAGGGTGCAACGTGTCCCAAAGGCATGTTGATTAGGAAGTTTTAACACTGAGAGGGGTGTTTATTTAAATGAATATTATGCTCTTTGGGGAGTCCATTGGATCTGTTTATTTTCATTTTCCCAACTCTCTCTCATGCTGCATTGAAAAAGATACTTTTATGCTTAGGAAAAAAAAAAAAAAAGCTATACTGTAAGTATTCTTTGCTGGGCCTCACCAAAATGAAAGAGGTTTTAATATGTATAGTATATACAGTACACTTAATATGTATAGTCTATTGTATATAGATGGAGCTGTCACTGCAGAACAAACAAGTAAATGGAAGAATTTCTTCACTAGGCTGGGGGGGAATGTTAGGGGTATGTGGGAACTAATGCAATTCTGTGAGATAAGTGAGAGTACTGTTTAAACCCTACCAGTTCTGTGAGTCCTCACAGAAAGCAAAGGGAGGGGTATCCAGTTAGAACAACTTCATCCTCGACAGGACCAGCATAGGACACAACCACAAAAATCACTTGCTGAACCCCAGAAGAATGTGGCTGTGTAAGGATTAAATGAGACAAAGCATATAAAGTGCTTAGCATGTAGTAAGTGTTCAGAAAACATCTTATTATTGTTTTGAAACATGTCATATGGTATGAGTAAAGTTTATCTCCATTTCACTGTAGAAAATGTAAAGGCTCCAGAAAATTCACCAGTATTTTTGCTTTTGTCTAAATTCATTTGTGAGAAGTTTTACTCACGCCTTGGCTGCCGGTGACTCATGGTTAAATCATCGCTCTCATCTTTTTTCCTTTTCGGTTTTTTAATACAGTTGCATATCACATGACATTCTGCTTTGTTTTCTTCCTCCCCCTTCCCGAGGAAAACTAGGCAACTCTAACAGCCCCATTACCTTAATGAATAAAAGCCATTCAGTGAAAAGACCTGGTATCCACTTCATCGATTAAAAAGCTGATGACTAACTCTTGGAAATTTTCTGGAGCCCTATGAAAATTCATATCACTTAGTAACCTATGTGAGCTGAAGGTTGGTGTCCAATGACTGCTAAGAAGATATAAGGAATGTCGCAGAAATATAAATAGACCAGCACTGAAATTTAATTAGGCACTGCATATGTTAATAATAAATTCAATTAATTTAGCCTTCTACCTATACTAGAAGGAAAAAAAAACCTGGGCAAAATAATAATTCATTTTAAATGCTTCAATTGGTAACCTCCTTTCCTGAAGAGTGATTTATGCAGTAATTTACTGACTGTGTCTTCATAAGATTGTTCCAAACCAGCCCTTCTGAAATAATAATAACTTTTGAATGTGTGTTGTGAGAGATATAACAAATGACTTCTTATTAATTTTCATTTAATGAGTTGCCTATTCACATGGTAATTTTAAAAAATTCTCTTCTTAAGATAAACAGGTTATAAATACTGTGGATAACACTTCCATTTCACAAAAATCAAGACAAGAAAATCGCATATTCTCTACATGATTTGCAGGTCAATCAGTTTAAAATTTTCTATACTAAATAGGCATCCATTTCTTTCCCAGTTAGCACAGCAGATCATTTTAAATTTCTACAGCCAAATGATTCCAGATTGGTTAAAAATGAAAACTGAATATTTAGCAGCAGCAGAGGTCTTAGCAGAAATAATGGGAGGGAGTGGGGAGCAGGAAACAAAATCATGAAAAAGGTGGCAAAGCAGGTAGGGTTAAGTAGGGAGCCCATAACCTTGGTTCTTTTTATAAAGAATAAAAGGCATAAAGATCATTCTTTACAGCTTTCCTATTTCCCCAAGTTTACTTTTTAAAAAAGACTCCATAATTTCTTACATAAATATTAATACTTACGAATCTTAATTGCTAATATTTCCAAAAACCTTAATTATGTAACAATGAATTAACTCTATGTTACAATAAAAAGAGCAAGTATAAAATAATAAAAACTAGGAAGAAGAAATTCCTCAGAGTCATAGGTTTTTCATATGGTTCACACCAGTTTAAAAAGTCCTGCAATAAACAGGGCAAAACTGTCAAATATAATTCCTCACAACACTGGGAAGAGTCTGCCTAAAGTATTAAATAATTCAAATGCAATTGCTACTTACATGAGAACCGAAAGGGCCTTGCTCCTAACCCACACTGCCTCACGCCCTCTCCGTGGAAAAGCCCGTACTGCATTTCACCCATAAACTTGTCCAGCTCCTGCCCTGAGGCATTGACGAGCAGAGCTCCCGTTTTGCAGAGGATAGTGGCTTTGATCCACAACGGTGTCCCCAAGGCTGTCACAACTCCGAGGGCACATGCAAAGCTTAACACTCCAGCCATGCAAAAAATGATTTTCTTCTGTTGACTTGGCATGATGAGAAACGGCCTCTGTGAGGGCGAGGTTCAAAAACAAGACCTTTGTGAGCAATGGGAAGGGACTGCCCCTTTGACTGCATTTATTACAGAAGCTGAACGGACAGATCCCAGCTGAAAAGGCAACTTCACCATTGATGGTTCTCGCCAGGTTAAATGTCAGTAGATGAAGGCATCTTCATCACTCATACTTGGCTTTTCTCCTTTTCTGCTGCTTCTTCTCCCTAATTGGAAATCTTTGGATGAAGGATCTATAAAATAAAAGTCTTTCAAACTGCCTTCAAGTATCTCCTCTGTGTCACTTGGTAACAAAGGTCTAAGATAACAGATGGAGTCCCCCGTGTAACTTGATAAATGCTTCCCTTCCTCAGCCTTTTGTCTGATTGGGTGAGTTGAAACTTTCAGAAACAGGCTTGAATCTGATGGTAAATTTTCAGCAACTTGAGAAGTTCATTTATCGATATTTTCATTTTTGTTTTTATTTGTCGTTGTTTTTGGTGGTGGGGGAAGGAGCTTTAGCAGAGATAGTGAGAGCCTATGTACATGTATTGATAATTGATGTCAAAATTTTTTAATTACAGCAGCATAAAAATATTAAACAGAATTGGGTTCTACATGAATATTAAGTACTCTAGACCAACCATGGGTTCTAGTCCTTCCAACTTAATTTCTCCCAGATCCATGGTTTATACCTGATGTATCAATAGAGAATTTGATTCAAATTTTTCTTGGCTTACAGAAATACGAAAATGCAGGAGCAAATATCTAGATTTCTAAATGCTTTCCTTTAACAAGCTTAGCTGCATTAGGATAATAGCAAGGGAATGTGTTTCTGGGTCCAAGGAATACCAGGATCTGTAAAGATAAGGACATACTGATGGAAGGACGGATGGTGGTCAGATAGGTGACTCTATGGATTCATCATAAAAATGCACAGGTCTCAGCAAAGGCAATCTGTTTGGGAGATTAGAAACAGTTATGAGCAAAGATTAAGTAGCAGGTAGGCCCAGTTAAATGGTCAAGACCTGGAAACTAAAGTTCAGAATTCAGTAACAGCTTTTTAACTTTACATTTCCAATGAGATTCCTCCTTCTGCAGACACAAGACTCTCTCTCTCTCTCTCTCTCTCTCTCTCTCTGTGTGTGTGTGTGTGTGTAAGTGTCTAGTGAATGTTTATTTAATGCCATGTTATTGTCCTGAGCTCTGACCTACAAAGTTAATGTTTAGTAAGAACTTATGTCTGGCAACTTGCGAAGTATTCTACCTAAATTATCTCATATAATTCTCATAATTACCATATAATGAAGAAGAGGAGAGGAGAAAGAGGAGGAGAAGAGGAGGAGGAGGAGGAGGAGGGAAGAAGGAAGAAGAATAAGAAAGAAGACAGAAGAAGAAAAAGAAATTATTCCTATCTTATGTATAAGGAACTTGAGGCTCAGAGAGTTTAAGCAACTTGCTGAAGAGAGTAGTGGAGCTGGGATTCAAATCCAGGTCTTCCACATCTGAGGTTGATGTTCTATTCTAAGCAAAGCCCCTGACCTTGAAAAGATGGCAAACACTTCAGTTTGGGTTGGGTTTGTCTGGGAGTAACAGGGGCAGACTAGCCCATTATTAGTTACACATCTTGAGTGTTTGAAGAACACAGACATCAGTAAATAGAACTTTTTCAGTTGGCCAAAAGCACATGTGTATGCTAGCTTCTATTCTTTTGATCCACCTTTAAGCATGACAGCTTAGAGAAAATTAATAAATGAAGACTTATTTCGCACCATTTTCAGCATAAATGGGTCTCTACGTTATGCACACTTTGAAGGGAACTTTGAGGTACAGACTCGGAGTAAACTTCTCTCACAGCTCGCCTCTCCTAGGAGTGACAACAGCCAGTCTCGTTAAGGACAGACAACGAAGTATAGAACTCATTCTAGAATGCCGTGTACATTTGGGGAGAAGAGGGGCAATAAAAACATGGCCACAGAAGAACTGGCCATATAGAAATACCAAAGAGGCACTTAAAATGAAGTTTACAATATTAGTAAGTCTTTTTTATTTTGTATAACTTAACACAGAATAAACAAGTCATCGCAGTTTATTTGGCCCTCTAATGAATTCTCCACTGGATTTACAATAATTGCTATCATGGCCCACTAGCAAAACAAGTGGGTGCCAGTGCCCCCAATAAGTGGTTATTTGGGCATATAAGTGCCACGGTCATCCTAGAAAACTTAGTTTAAGATGTCTAAGCAGAGTTGAGCTTACTAAATCATCATATTCTGTCATTGGAAGAGACAGAACATTTCCAAAGCCTGGGAGAAGAAATCACCTACAACTTAATCAATACTATTAATAACCTCTACTACAGGATATGGCAAGAGAAGGATAGTTACCATAGGACAGTGGTTTAATTAACCCAAACTCAGTCAAGTATATCTAAAGCTGTCCAAGGAGGAAAGCCTTGATTATGGGTGTAGAGAGCAATTAGATCACATCAGTTCTTAAGTTTGCATCAGTCTGTAGTGACATATTCACTCGTCTGTAGAGGCATGGGAAAAACAAATACAACATACTGAGTTACTGTTATATCCTGAAATTAGGCCCTTCCTAATTTTTATTGTTAAATTTTTCTTTCTTTAATGAGATGATGGTAGTTGAATTTTTAATGATTTTATTTGACAAATTTAGAAACTGGCAAACCTATGTCTACTCCTGATTTAAAACAAAACAAAACCAAACCCACTGGTCTATAACATAAAAGATCCCTGAGTGGAAAGGGTGAGGCTCACCCTTTGAGGCCTAAAACCTCACTCTTTGCTCTGACACAGTGGTTCTGAGTTTTGCTGCTCATTAGAATCACTCGAGAAGATTTTAAAAGTACTGATGTCTGTGTCCTCATCCCTGAGATTCAGATTTATTTGATTTTCGAGTATGGCCTTAGCGTCGAGTCACCCCAGGTGATTGCATTGTGCAGCCAAGGTTGGAAGCCACTGCCCTTATCTCCTTTTCACATAGCTACCTTCTGATTACAAACTAGGCTTTGCAGGCATCTCAGTGCTGGAATGCACACAGACATGAGCATCTGGGTCGCTAGAGAGGAATATGCTCATAGCAAATTAATAAATGGGCATTATCATTTACAGCTCAAACTTTCCTACATTTTTTCAGCACTAGGTTTCAGCATATCCACAACTAAAAGCCAGGCCCCGATTCATAGAATTACCCCCAAATCACCATGTGAATATCAATGGTGCTGTATCCTGTTCATGTGAGGCAGCCCCCCCTCGCCTCTTCTCCATGCAGCTTCCTTTCAAACTTCAGCATCAGCCACCCACAGGCTGCGTAGTAGTGTGTGTGATCCACCCTCTGAGAATGATATAATGGAACCTGGCAGTCATTATGCCTGACAGCCTTCTTTTGAAATTTCATCTTAAATGTCTTGAATGACAGTGATGACACCATTTTCCTTGCAGTCTCTCTGAGAATTTGAGTCATTAATGTCAGCAAGTTTTCACCAAGTATCCTGCTGAAATCTTTACTTCTCTCAATCTTAATAGGAATACACTTGGTGACATAAGAAAATGGAACTAGGCCTCCCCCTCCTCTGACCCCTTTCAGGTGCTGGATAATGATATAATTCTTCAGAGTGACTAGAGAGTCTGTAGAGAAAGGAGCACAATTGCAGACTCTGTTTTCACTTCCAGTGTAGCATTTGTGCCTCTTCTCACACTAACTTGGCTGCATCAGTTTTTCCTTACAACCATTTGAAAACAAAAGAAAAAAAAAAGAAGCCCCATTCCAAAAGCATGCAAATTCTCACCTGATTTGTTCCCCAAGTATAAGAGACAGTATGGCATGGCATCAGAAGATCCTGTCCAGGGTCTCTTTCCAGCTCTATCGCTAAATTAAGAATTCCTTCTCTGGCATTAATTTTACGTATTTATGAAAAGAGTGGTCTGGGCTGCATAGGTGATTCTCAAATCATTTTCAAGAAGAAAAACCATTGCCTCAACACAACTCATGACAAATAAGACAAAAATTAAGCTGCTATACTGGGAGGGTGGGTGGTCAAGGAGTTGTCACTGGGCTCCCCAGCTCCCTACTCCCTAGAGTGCCCTATCCCCAATGTGAAAGACAGCTCTGAGAAGCACAGTTTGGCTCCTTTAGTTCCTATTTAACTAAAGAAGAAAAATTTTAATAAGCCATAGAACTACAATTTGGTCATTTGCTAGATTATGTCTCTTTTTTCTTTGCTGTGCTAACCTATTAGCTATTACAGAATATTGCATTGCCCACGGACACTGCATGGCTGATTATTCCAATTATTAATTTTTAGATTATTTAATGAGAGGTTCTATGTTTTTGTCTGATTTGTCACTGGTAGTACTGATTTTGATTTTCCTCCAAATGGATCATTATACTCCAAGGCCTCTCTAACAGATTCAACAAGAGTCTATCAAGCTTCCTATTCTAAGACAAGAGGCCTTTGTAAATCTACCCCATTTTTCTCATCTTTAAAGCAAAATCTGGCAAATTTGATTGACGTGCCTTGACTAATTCAAGTTGCTGGTGATCCTCAAGTAGCATTGTAATTTTCTAATGACTGTAAGGGAAAAAAACACTCCATGGAAAGAATTGATTGATTTATTAGAGAGAAAATTACCACATGTGCTAGACCTTGATTGCAGCTAATATTTGTAAAGCTAATTGCTTGAACTAGAGGATTAAAAGGATTGAAGGAAAGGAAGAAAAAGAAAACAAAGTTCTCTTGGAATACAGATGAACCCGCAGTGGATTTGGACTGAGAGGGAGAATTCAGTACACGGATTTTTGGGGCTGATGATAGTTGTGGAGACATTTAGAATAAGTGGAAGAGTTGTGCTTCTGACACAAAAGCCACAGAGAGGAACCAGGGAGTGGAGGAAAGTTGCTGCTCATGCTGTCTATTAAATAAGATCTCCTGTGACACCTTCGGATTTGTCTGGGTTTCTTGTTGTATCTCACATTAAGGCTATGTTGATACTTAACCTTCACCCAGCAGAATGTCTGAGCTATTACAGAAAGGAGGAAAAAGTTACTTAACCTAAAGAGGTGAAGAAAGAAGGCATAGTTTAAGACACATCCTTTAATGATAATAGGCAAACCATATTCCTAGCACAGGGAAACAGATAATAATTTTCCTCGTTGATATAACTTAGGATAGATGTGCTAAAGTAGTACATTTTGGGGTAGTTTGATTTGGTGATTACCAACTTTTTTTTTTTTTTAAGACAGAGTCTCACTATATTTTCAGGCTAGTCTTGAACTCCTGGGCTTAAGTGATTCTCCTGCCTCAGCCTCCCAAGTAGCTGGGACCACAGGCACACACCACAGATATAAACTCTGTGGCAGCCACA